GTGGTATTTGTTTTGTTAGCTATTACTAGCATTCTAGTCATTTGTACACATCAGAGTATCACGTTGTTAATGGTACTATAGATTAAATGTCAGTTGCATCAATATAAGTTGTATATAAGAATATAAGTTGTAACGATGCTTGGTATTTCATCTGTTGTTCTTTCAGTTATTTATTGAAAATCTAGAGAAATACGCAAGTTACATTTCTGTTTCCTTTTCACAGCTGTGGATGGAAAAGCACCACTTGCTACTGGAGAGGATGATGATGATGAAGTTCCAGGTAGGAACCTTCACTTGCGGTTAACCTAGAGACTCTTAGCAAGAGAGAACAACAGATGTTAACAGAAAAATAACTGCTCGAGCGGGGCTGATGGGTTAAAAGAGGCTGAGCCTGCAGAAAGGGGGACATGGAATGAGAAGAATAACAGTTTGTGAAGTAGCTTAGTTACATTTCTAGACTTGGCTTATGTTTGAGATCCCAAGGAGATACAGGTATCTAACCTTAAATATTGAATATTCTATATTTATGACCTAAATAAAAGTATCTGGAGATCACACATGACCTCTGTTTCCTCCTTGAAATCCATGAATTTACAGGATGCCATAGAGAAGTTATTTAAATCTTTTATTACATCACTTTGTGGTAAAACAAATATGTATTGTGCAGAAGAATCTCTAGATTCGTAAGTATTGCCACTTTGCATAGACAGGTGTTCATAGGAACCTAAGAACACTTCACAGTTGTGTCATGGTGTTGTTTGGTTCTGCTCTTCCCGTAGAGTAACCAGTGTTTTGCAGCTTCATATTTTAAGGAAATATGCTTATGTCATTGTTAAAATAACTTTATTTTGTCTTATATGTCAAAAATAACTTCCCAGTGTACTAAATGGATAGTGGTCTCATTGGAAATAGTGTGTAAGTTGGAGAGCATTTCCGTATCTGCTATTAAGATGAGATAATTATTTATGGATTTGACTTTTTTCCAACTTTCTACCCCTTTCTTTCCCCTAGATCTTGTGGAGAATTTTGATGAGGCTTCTAAGAATGAGGCAAACTGAATTGAGTCTGCTTCTGAAGAAGATACAACTTGGAAGGAGTTACTGGGAGCTGCTATTTTATATTATGACTGCTTTTTAAAATTGTTTTTTTGTTTATGGATCTGATAAAATCTAGATCTCTAATGTTTTTAAGCCCAAGCCTCTTGGACACTGCAGCTCTTTTCAGTTTTTGCTTACATATAATTCATTCTTTGCAGGCAATTAATGAAGAAGCCTGGGAATAAAGTTTGAAACAAAGATTAATAAAATTCTTTGCCTAGTATATGCTTTTATTTTTTATTTCTTACTCAGTGATGTGTGCACAGTAGGCAAACTTGTTTATTGAAAACTAACCATGGAGTGTGATGTGACTGATAAACCCTTTGATAGAATTTAAAGATTTAAAAACAATGTAGTATAACAAAGGTGGTATAAAGTTCTCATGTTTAAAAATTTTTCCCCAAAAGTTGTTAGGACTTGGATGGTTCGTGTACCAATGTACTCTAAAACTATAGAATATTTCTGTGGGTAAGCAAGCAGCTTCTTCTCGATATTGTTTATCTTTATTGTAAGTATATAAAAGTATCTATTAATCTCGGTTTTACCTCATTTTCATCCTCAGTTTATGAGGTGGAAATCAGTACCTCCATTTTGTAGATGTACTCTGAGTGCTAGATTTCAAAAAATTGTAAGTAGTTAATATCCCTTCTTTGTAGGTTGTTCTTTCTAAAAAGTGACTGGAAAAAAAAGTTTCTATTAGGAATGTCCCCTGAGTCACACTGTTCTTAAGTGGCAGCACTGTAGATGACAAAGGCTTCTTTTAAAAATGTTAGCATAAAGTAGAATTGAGTATACAGTTACAAGAATTTTTTACAAACCAAAATTGAAATGATTATGTGCAAACTGCATCAAAGCCAATTGAAGAAAATTGTACTTCTAACAAGAATTCATTTAAAATGTTATGGCAGTATGCAAGCCCTATTTGAAGGTACCATTCAGGTATACCTGAGTCACTAGTAGTTATGGTACTACAAATGAAGTGCTTTGTGAACTATTTGCACATTTTTGTTGTACCGTATCATTTTCGTTGAAGGCTGTGTATCACTTCTGTTAAAGTGCCTGCTATAGTAATGGGAATCCAGAAGTTTCAGCAATTAGAAAAATCAAGTGTACATTTCCAGAGTATTTTGGCCAGGTTGGGCTCCACTACATACTTATTCCAGGTCCCACACTGATGAAACAAGCCCTATTTTGGCCACTTAGAGCTTCTTGGCAGAGAAGATGGGATAAAGCTGGTGCTCAACAGAAGTCACTTGGACATGTAACTGACCAAGTAGTAGGAGGTCTTGGGGCTGGGAACTTTTCATTTGTAGTAATACTGCTGCTCCTCCCTCTGCCATGCTTTTGAATGGCATAGATTTTCAGTTTTTCTCGAGTTACTGTGGCATGTTGACAAGCTCACAGAGGCTGCCACTCATCTTTCCAGCTGTTCAAGCTAGACCTGTACAAAAGGGACTTAAGCACAATGGCTTCCAGCCAGACCTGTCCAAGGGCAGCTTCCTTATTCTACAGGTGCTGGCTAAGATTAATCTTGTTAGGGCCTTAATCAAACCTTTCCCCAACCTCTAAAAATGTTTTTAGATAACAGGGTATGTGATGGTGGCTATGGGTTAAGAAAGGGTGGGACAGGGCTGGTGATTTAGCTCAGTGGTTCTACCGCCTACCTCACAAGTGCAAGGTCCCAAGTTCATTCCTGGTACCAAAAAAACTGGTGGGATTTTTGTTTTTGTTGTTTCTTTGTAGTTCTTCAGTATCAGCATAGATAAGATTAGGCTACAGTTGACAAATGACCAAAAGTTTCAGTCCCAAGAAAAGTTAGTCATGTGATGTTTGTGATTTCCCTGTGGTTGGAACACTGCCAATCTCATGACCAAAAAGGTGGCAAACGACTAGCTGGCTTCTCACAAGCTTAAGTTGGGAAGTGATCTGCGTCATTAATGACCAAATTGCGTCAGCCAGAGGAAGTCACATAGTCAAGTCTGATGTCTTTAGGATTGTGGAAGGATAATTCTCTCATCTATTCTCTAGAGTGGGATAACATAATTTCAGACAATACAATACCATACATTGTCATTTTCTCTTTGAATTGTCTACAATACCTGTAGCTACTATTACATGTGAATAGCACTGCCTCTTGTCTAATGTCTTCTTAAGGTGGTTATCAAACACCCTAAAAGAGCCGCATTGTACAGATAAGGAAACCACGTTGAAGAGATGAAATTAGTTGTCTTGGGTCATACATCCCCTTCAGTGTTAGGATGGGATTCAAACACAGCTCTGTTCTAAGCTCATCACTTATCACCTACCGGGAAGAAATTTAGAACCTGGTAGACCAGAAGAGCAAGTCATTGTGATCTGACTGAAATTTTTTTGGATGCTAGCCTCTACTTCTAAGACTAATTCTAGACTAAACTAGTTTTCAGCTGGATCAGAACCAGAGAGAGACATCTATTTTAATCTGAAAGCTTACAGAATTACTATCCTTATATCTGTTGAAGTAAGCTAGAGTACATTTGTGTGATCACAATAATAACTCATGCACTGGACATTCTGAAGTACGGAAACAGGTTTAGAAATGGCCCAATGGTACCTAAAGGTTAGGTCTGATTTCTGCTTTTTTCTCCCCAGTAACACTGGGTTCATGTTCTTTACCAGCTCTTCTCTACCTCCTACCCAGTATAGTGTATATTTATATTTTTGTCAATATTTTGAGAGTAGTCTTTAAGTTTCCAGCTTTTCCAAAGCTATGATTAGAAAAGTCTCCTATCCACACAAGTTTTCATCCAATCAGCACAGCCTTGAATGCCATTTTTGTGGCAAGTTCTGGTAATGCAGGCATAGACAACAAAGAAAACCGTATCACGTCTCTAGCCAGAACACTTGGGGCTTGCAAAACTTAAACAATTATATTTATTTTTAAAACTATAACTTCAGATGTCAAGGTGGACTGGAAAAGATGCTATTGGACAAGGAGTAGCCCTTTGGGTTTTAATAATAGTGAACGCTGTGTAATGAGAAAACTGCAGATGTTTATTAAAGATCCTATATGTTATACTTTGAAAAGCCAAGGAGAACCAGGCCTGGTGGCGCAGGCCTGTAATCCCAGCACTTAGGAGGCTGAGGCAGGAGAATTGTGTGTTTGAGGCCAGCCTGGGCTACATAGCAAGACCCTATCTCAAAAGAAAAAAAAAGAAAAGCCAATGAGAGTGCGATCTCTCCATGTCAGCCTAAAAATAAACACACTGATATATTACATAAACAAGGAAAGGTCCATATAAGTTTGTATATTTAGCCAGCAGGGAAATAATCTTTATTTGCTAATTGGCAGCTAGCCAGAAGAGAAGGCTCTTTGTACTTTTAGCAATGCCATTCACAATTCCTAAGATGCATTTCTATTTTTACCCTCCATGATAAGCAAAGGACAGGTAATTATCTAGTGCATTTCTGATAAGTGTTTGAAACATTGATTAAGACCATGTTGGATTGGAATTGCATCTGCTGCTGTGGTTTTAGAAGAATCCAGCTTTGCTAGACTGTAAGGTAGTGCTGCTCAGTTTAAAGCCACAGTGGGGAACATGGTAGTCGACAAGGAGGAAAGTGGGAGAGAAAGGGCGAAAACAAAGGTTAGCAACAATTTTTGCAAGCCAACAAAATGAACAGACTTTTTTGATCTTAACCAAATTGCCAAAGAATCTCAAATGGAATTTGATAACAGACAGGACCCGTGCATTGAGATTTTTTCCTTTGTTAGGCCTTGTAAAGCTGGCTTTATTTACATCTTAGCTAGATAATTCATTTATGTAAATAGGCAGAAGCTACTGGGATGATACAATTCCTTGCATTTATTCACTCATTTGTTCATTGTGGTGGTGCTGCTGCAGGTAGAATCCAGGGCCTTTGTGTACTAAGCATGTACTCTACCCCTCAGCTATACCCTAGCCCTGGAAATGATAGAATTTCTTCATGTGGCTGTACAATATTCATTAGAAAAGAATTTCTTAGAAAGCTTCCTGCTAAGTATGAGTTATTTTATGTAACTGAAGTGTGTAAGGATAGCCACTCCAAGAACCCATTAAAAACAATCAAATGTGTCTTTTCATTTTTACCTGATTCAACTGAGCAGCCATCACAGTCATTTCTTCTGCCGCACACCTTGTCCACATATGTCCAAGTCTTCTGGCCGGGACATTTGAATACCAGATTTTTGTGGAAGACTGTTGGGCATTTGACCTATATTATACAAAGGCATTATTTCTAGTGGTAGACAAGTGTACGTAACATTTTAATAATTTTGAAGTGGAATTGTTACCTTCTGGTGACTGTCCTTTAGCTTTGGTGATTTGTCTACCTTACCACAGTAGATTCATCTTCTCCATAGCTGCAATCTGCCTCATGATTACAAAGCAGGGAGGATGTCACGTATGTAGTGAGGTTCTTTGGGACATGAGAAGCCCAGTTGCTGTGAAGCTGACTGCATTGGCGATAAGGTAAGCTAGGAAAGCCTATAAGACAAATGCATTCATCTATGACCATGAGCATCAAGCTTTGGTAATATAATACATCCTTTCCTACCTCCTGCATCTTACCACTGTTCTGGCCCCCATTATTTCTTCTCTCTTTTTCTTTCTTTTTCTCACCCATAGTCTCAAACTCTCTAGGCCTGCAGAGCTTGCTTGCACTTTTCGTAAAAACCATTGGTATTTTGGCAAAGAAGTGTAAACTCACTCCTGCCTGAGAAGTACTCTGGGGGAGAGTCTGGTGGCCTGGGCTCTGATATGAGTTGTCATGGACTGGTTAAGTGGCCCCCGCCATCATTTTCTTAGCTAGAAATGGGAACAAAGAGAACTTGCTACACCAACCTCATGGTGAAATTAGGATTGTTTTTAAGTGCAGTCAATTTACCCATTCAAAGGTGAATGTGAAGTGTGCACAAGGTCCTAGATTTGATATTCTGCACTGAAAAATGGTGAAAGGCCTTTTTAAAAACTTCAAGGGCTACAAAATATTGGTGGAATTTAAAATACAAATAGATTGGTGACACTTGTATCACAGACATTATAATATATCCCCATGAAATTCCTGATTCGTGTGTGGAGTGCTAAACAGGCTGGAACTATTTTAGGTCCCTGGTTTGGAGTTTGTGAGGGCTTGGTGAGGACATTTTGCATGTGGAATGTTTTGTGGCTGGGACTTAGCTAATCATTAAGAGGCAGGTAACACCACAGTTTAAATCCCTTGATTCAGGCGGTTGGCACTGTGGTTTTAGGGACAAGGCCCTGTTATGCTCTGGTAGTCTGAAGGAATAGGTGTCAGCTTGAGCTCTCTGAAAAATTGTTTCCAAGATAGTATTAAATGTGAATGTAATTTGGGGAAAATTACTTATGAAGGATAAAGTAAAGAAATCAAGTTCAAACAGGGAACCTCAGACCCTGATGCAGGTATAATGCCTATGAACGAAAAGAAGGTGTGGGTAGGAGAGACTTAAACTACAGCCCAGTGCTCAGAAAGTTTTAGGAAGGTCACGGTGGAGTCCTTGAAGCAAAGTTGCCCATCTGCTGAATCCCACATATATGGGATGGACTGGCACTAATGTCCCCACAATGCTGCTCTTATCTGGAGCTGCTTGTGGAGGCAGAGCTTAGATGTGTGGATGGCAGTGGGTCTAGCAGTAGCTGGGTCTTGCAGTGTACAGACATAGGTGAAGAGGATTCTGTTGGAGGAGATCAGAGCAAAGTACTTTCATGGCTGCCATATTCTCAAAGTGACATATTCAAAATGCTTATAGACTACTAATGCTTATAGGCTATACTAAAGAATCTGTGCCTTAGGCTAGGGATGCAGCTCAGTAGAAGAGCCTGTGTGTAGCATGTACCAGTGTTAGGCATAAAGTATGTACTCTTAAATTTTTCCTTGAATGAGTGTTCAAAAGGTAAACACTACAGTATTTTATGCATTAAGTCATATCAATAGAAAATAAAGATAAGAACAACAGTACACCTGCTGTAGTTATCTTGGAAGAAAAGATTCTCTAAGCCATGACAGTAACTGAAAATAGAAACCAGGTAATGATAATATGACCACCTTGGAATTCTTTTAAAGAAATAATGATTTATAATATCAAGTCAGCAGTTGTCTGAAATATTGATTTGGGATATTTTCTGAACTTTAGCAAATTCGTGTATGTTAACATGTCTCAAACTGAGAAGCAGAGACATTTGTGGCTCTGTTAAAGTGTAGGCCAATGGGGCAGGAACAGCCAGTGGGGTTTCAGGGGAAGGGAGGTACCTACCCAAGGCCATATTCCTTACCCAGACAACCTGCATTCCTCATTGGTTGATGATGAGTTACATCATCATCATTAACAGAGGACAACTTTGAAGGACCAGCCTCATGGCAGGACTCCCTGTTGGGTGTCTGAGATCACTGTGGTGGCTGCATGGTAGCCCAGCTCCTCCCTTTGCCCACCTCGCTTCCTCCACTGCCCACAAATGTTGGTACAAGCGACTCCCCAGTAAACTTCCTGAACACAAGTTTTCTCACAATCTACTTCTTGGGAGCCCCCCTGCAATTACAACTCTGTGTGTGTGTGCGTGTGTGTGTGTGTGTGTGCGCGCGTGCGCTTACACAGATATTCTACATTCTACACACTACCACACTTAAATAGTAGTATATTATTTACTTACTGTTCTGAACATTTGGAGAACATTCCACATAAGTAAAGATCTACTTTATACTTTCTAAAAGCTGCAGAATGTTCTCTTATTGCATTGTCTGAATGTGCCCTCGTTTGTTTAAGCTTTGACCTTATTAACATTAGATCATTTCCAAACTTTGGCTCTTAAACAGTGCTACAATAAGGCAAGGAACACTGAAGATAGGCCCTTTAAAATAAATGGTAATATATTGCAGACTCTAAAGTCATAATCGTTTATGGCATTTTGGAGTATTGAGGTTAAAAGAGGTTTGTCTTAGGTTGTACAAGAGAAAAGCAAAATGAGAATCCAGCTTTCACTGTTATGTCCTGCCCTTGTGTACCATCCTTCTGTTCATACACTAATTTCCGAGGTTGGAAGGGGCTGTGAACCCAGGTTTGGTCTGAGTTTTCTTTCCATGACAATTTGTCGAGTCAGTTTCCCAGGTCTCAAATCTATCACTTTCTTTCCATCCCATTTCTTTCACTGAAACCACACCAGGGTTGCATGAACTTTAATCATCTCCCTGCTCAAAAGCCTTCCACAGCTCTACTTCTGGAAGTATCGAGCCTCAGTCCTCTGTCCACCATGCATTCCTCAGGCCCTATGTGTACCAGGGCTGGGTGGAAGGAGGCTTCGAGCTATGTCTCAGAACAGACCGTTACTACACAATATGATTAGAGCTAGGTTGAAATGTATACAAGGCTCAGAGAAGCACAGAGGTGGCATATCTCAGTCTGTTTGGGGACATCTGAAATGTCTTAAACCCTTTATGGTCATCCAAATAAGCAGGGAATGAAGGACATCATGGCGGAGGGGACAGCATAGGCCAGAGTATGACACAGGCTTTGTGTGAATGTGTGTGTGTTATTGCATGCGATTCATTGCTGCTGGACCATAATCTTTTAATTTTTTATGCCCCTATCCCCAACTCTTAACTTGTCATTGTTATTCTTTCACCTCTCTTCCTCCAAATCTCAAGTTTGATGCAGGGCAAGGTCCATCTCCTTTACGTTCCGCCACAGAGTACACAGCCTCCACCTTGGCAAACTGCTTCTAAAACCTCAGTCTGAATCTGGACTCCCCTACAGCTCCTTTACTACTGTGTCCCTTCACTATCAGTCCTAGATGATTCTTCTCGTTACTGAAAATATTTATCATCTCAACCTTGATTACTAATTATATACTGTTCTATAATTAGTCTCCCTAATTACCATGGAGATTCCTTGAAGGTGGAGACATATCACGTGCAAGCTTCAGAGTAAGGATTTCCTGGATTAGAACCTTGGTATGTTTACTTACTAGCTATATGGTCTTGGGCACATTGCCTAACCTAATCTCCTTGAGTTTCTTTCATGATTATGATAACAACTTGCACCTACAGGACTGTTGGGAAGGGTACAATAAAGATGAGATGTAGGGAATGTCCAGAGCAATGGTTGGGCCCTCCCACCTGGAAACCACCCATTATCAGTACACTCGCCCATCTGGGAAGAATACGGAGTACAAATGTACTCTTGGTAGAGTGAGTGATTGGTAGAGTCAGACCCCAGGGGTGATTCATACTTGAAGGCTTTCCAGGTCTTCCAGTGGTGATCATTCCAAGCACAAGGAATGCCATGCAGCTGATCAGAAGACACTGCCTAGTGGGAGGCCAGGTAACATCTGTCACAGCAAAACACACAAACACCAAGGAGAACAAATCATCATGGGGCAGTGGCTCCTCTTGTGGAAATACTGTTATCTAGCCCAGTGCTGTCCATGGTTTTTCCAATGTGAAGATCAGAAGCTGAAGTTACAGAATCCTAAATGTGTGCTTTGAGTTAGAGTGGTATTTTTCTAGCTCACACTTTGTAATTTGATATTCACATAGCATCCATCCCGGGGCTGTGTGAGTACTGCTTGCCTAGTATGAAAGTGAAGCCCTAAGAAGAAGAAACAGTGCCCTTGGAGGTGAAGTGACTTTAGGTTTCTATGTAACAAGTCAGTCTTCTGGACTCTATGCAGTACCTAGTGTATGGACTACCTACATTAGACTACTGAAGGAAATGCAGATTCTGGAGCCCTGATCTTTAAAATCAGACTCTGGGGGGTTCGATGGGGGTGTGCATGTTTATGAGCACCTTAGGTCATTCTTGACTCGAGGGAGCTTGAGAACTACAGCCCTGACCCCGAGACAAAATGCAGACCATAGTTTGGAGATCTTGTAAGACATTTCCAGATCCTATGAGACATGCCCAAGGACTATCAATTATTTTCTTGGAGGTGTTTGGACTTAACAGCCATTGCAGACAGGAGGAGGAACTGGTTCCTTTACCTTGGCCTGGCTCCAGGAGAACTTACCCAACAAGTTTACTTGGATCACTGTGAAGAGGAGTGCTCTGAGCACTTAAGCTCATCTTGTGGAGTTACAACAGTACTCCCTTTTCGGACAGTGACACTGTCCGGGATGATTCTGTGCTGACCCAACAGCAAGCACTCTTAACTATCTGTGTCTCCAAATCTTCCTCAGGGCCTTAGTCTGGAGTTGTCCTATCTCCTGGGGCCCCACATAAGGAGCTAGCATTCAACCCCCTTGGGAGGAAACAGCATACTTTAATAGAAGAAAGATTAGGCGCTATCTTTTGGTGGGAACTACTTCTGGACTCTTTTCCTCTGTCCATTTGAAGCTATTTACAACAGAAAACTTAATACTTTTATCTCTGTCACCTACTAGTACTTCAGAATTACCAGCCCTGTCACATACTTTGAATATTCATATTATTGGCAAAGGCTCAGAGAATCTAAATGTCACAAGTAGTAGTGTTAGAAAAAGGGACAAGAATGTAGACAGACCAAAGCTGCTGGGCACTGTACCAAGCAGATCCTCACTCTGCGAGATCACAAAAATCCTGTGAGCCCTGGCTGCCAAAGCCAGAGCTTGCTTTTCTGGGGCCAATGCCAATCATTCTTCCCCTCCCCACCATGAGCTTCTGCCTTAAAATGTTCCTACTCTTAGATGTAGAAATCCCACTTCTGAGACTCTATCTGAAGCATAGTACAGAAGCATATATGCAGAAGAATGCTGTAGGTATAAAGGTTTTTTTACATAATACAATTGATAAGAAATGCTCAATAGTATTAAAATACACAGTGAACACCTATTTATTAAAAGACATCAAATAAGTTACCCAATTTTATTTTATTTTTTTGGCACCGGGGATCAAACGTGGGGCCTTGTGCTTGCAAGGCAGGCATCGGAACCACTGAGCTAAATCCCCGGCCCTAATTACCCAATTTTATACATACTAGATTCTTGAATTTGTAAAGCAATCGTATAAAAGCACTAAGCAGGAAAACAAAGACTGGCAGAGTTGGCATCGGTAGTCTCTGGGTAGTGATTCTGTTGTTCACCATTCATTTCTTCAGCTAAAATTTATGGCACATCTACTTCATGTCAGGCATTGTGCTAAGCTTTGTAGCTATGGCGGCAGATGAGAGAGAGGGGCTGTCTTTGCCCTTGGTGAACTTATGTTCTAGAAAACTGGAAGATTTGCATCAGAATCATCAGAAAGTGCTTTTTAAAAATACATGTATCTCACAGCTCACCCTTAAGATCAGGGTTCACTGAGTTTGGGATGGAATAAGGCATAATATAGTGTGTTAAAAATGTCCCTTAGTGATTCTGAAATACAGCTGCTCTTGTAGGACACAGGTCTCCAAACTTTAAGATTGTCATCCCTTCAGTAAAAACAACAAAAATGAAGTGAAATAATATCAGCAATTCCCCACCACATACAAATATTTATTTATAACTTATATACCTGCACTAGTTCACCAATTTGTATACTGTAAAAACTTGCCCAAAATGGAAATTTAAGAAGGATGAGATTGAATATACTATGCACAATAAAGTTCTAATGTTTTCCTCCTTCGTCCACTGGCCCCTGTTGTAGTCCCTTGGTTGGTTCATTTAGAACTGACTTCTCCCGTCTAAAGGAAGCTGAACTGTGAGTGCCAAAGAAGAAAGGAAGCTGCTACTAATTTAGCACCACAGCTTTCAAAGGTGTTCAAAAATCTAATGCAAATACTAAAAGTTAAAGTAGAAGTAGATCTTAAAATAGAATTGGGCATTAAAATAGGCCCATGACGTTAAAATAAAATTAGGACAACAAAGCAGGTCTTTATTACCACAGTGGCTATTGTGTAATTGGAATTCCTTTCCCTTTAGGTCAGCAGATATGAGAAAATTTATGGAGTTTCTTAGCCCACAAATCTTTCTTTCATGCGTGTGCAGTATTGGGGGTTGAACCCAGGGGCTTCACACTGAACTACATCTTCAGCACTTTTTAATTTTTATTTTGTGATAGGGTCTCACTAAGTCACTAAGTTGCCCAGGCTGGGCTCAAACTTGCAATCTTCCTGCGTCAGCCAACTAGAGCATAGGAATTACAGGTGAGCGCCACCACCCTTGACCCCAAAATCCATCTTAACTAAGCCATTAAGCTCTGCGTGGAAGGGAAAAGGAGTTGTGCAGACAGGGTTCTTTCCAAATAGTGAGGAGCTGCAGCAGGCTTGATGGGCCAAGCTGGGGCAGTGGGAACTTGTGGCTGGGAAATGGGAGACTCTGAACTGCACATTCCCACCAGTCTTCTGGCAGAGTCAGACGTGCACACACACAAGTACAAGCACATGTACAGTCTGCAGAGCAAGAGGTGTTGGGATGCTGAGCTCAGGTGTCCAGAACAACTTGTGCCTGGGGCCTCCCTGTTTACTTGCTGCCAAGACCCTATCTAATGCAAGGCCAAGTTCTGTACTCAAGAGGGCAGCAGAGAAAAACAAATGGGCTCTGATTCCATTTGAGGGCCTTCCAGCACCCCAGGCAATAATCACCCTGTCCTCTAGCTGGGGAGCTGTGTGCTGAAAGGACTGGGGGACCTGGGATACTCCTGGCAGTCCTTGCTACTTGAGGATGGGCCAGCACACTGTAAAGCATTTGGAGGCAAATCTGCAGCTCCTTGCCCTTGTGGTTGCTATCTCATTTACTTTCAGAGTGAGCTAGTGAGGTTAAATGGAATTCGTAGGACCATTTCGGACAAGGAAACTGATGCCCAGTGGCGTGAACACTTGCACAGCCTTTAATGAGTAGGTAGCTAGTTAGTGACCGAGCTGAGCCTAGATCCAAGTCTCCAAAAAGGAAATTAAGTTGAGCTTTTTCTGCAAAATTCAACATTTCTTAAAGTTCTTGGACTGTTTCTCAAGGATCTGCAAATTCTAAGAATTTTTTTTCTTTTTCATGGGGAGGCAACATGGCTGAAGAGAGGAGGAGTCACATCTGAGAGACTCAGAGAAGAGCAACTAAAAACAGAGGTAACTGGAAGAAAGGGAGGGACATACACCCTAATGCAAAAAATCAATTTGAAAGAAGAGACTTGTAGATCAAACAAAACATAGGCAGAGAAGTTTAAAAGAGGCAAAGCAGCCCTACATGACTGCCTATGGGGCCTCAGCCATGAGAACTGCTGCTTTGAGAAGTTCCCAAATAGCTGGCAGTCTCCAAACAGTGTGGCAGAGTCAAGCCACACAGGATAGACTTGGGGTACCTGGCCCTTGGCCTCATTAGCCCCTCTCCAAACATAGAGGAGGCTGCAGCCTGGCAGCATTTTTGCCGGCACACAACAGGGGCGAGTGACCAGGGAGCTGCTCCCTCCATCATCCACCCCTTCATTGTCACACTGAGCAGAAAAACAAGCAATCTCTGCCTGCATTGGGAGTCTTTAGTATTGGACCCTGGGAACACCTCAGTCACCACTGAGAGCCTGTAGTTTAGCCCATGCAAACTGGGACATTCATCCCGCACACGAAGCTAATACAGGTCTGGTTCAAGTCTATACTTTGCACCCTGCACTCACTTGAGCCTATACCAAGCTCTCACCGCCCTGCTCCAATCCTAGACCCACCAGAATCTTTAACATCTAGAACAGTCCCTGGGCAACCTGGTTTACACGGGGTGTTCCAAACCCATGTAAATCTCTGCCTTGTATGACTGGACAGTACCCATTCAGCACCAGGCACACTGTCCCCACTTAGGGCACAGCAGTCCCCACCCTGCCTTTTGCCAGAGCCCAAGACACAGTCCCAGACTAGCACAATAGGCCAGTCCTCTGCCTGGTTAGCAGCAAGGATTAAGGGCCTGTGGACACCTGTGAGACACCACCCAGTGCCCTGCACTCTCACTGGGCCTGCAGAAATGTCCCCATGTTAGTCTTGAGCAGATTTGTTGCTCCTCTGAGCATCCACAGGACTGAGAGTCAGCTCTGAGAATCCAAAGGAGCCTCTGCATGATGGCGGGAGCCTGTCCCACAGACACTGCAATATACATCTGGTAACCAGCATCAGTCCTCAACCAGAAGGAATTTACAACAGATGCCTCAGAACCAAGGCCACACATCTTGCCTGGTCCTACTCCCCAGCTTGAACGGCTGCCACCAACAGGGGATTATGGAGAGAGGTCCCCTTAACTGAGTCGCCTCTGTACAGACTCTCTACAGACTATAAAGGGGGGCAAAGAGGAACGGGACTTGAAACATTAAAGACTGCTGACCTGGGACGAAAACGCTTCTCTGGAAATACACAGGAACTTTTTCCTCCCCTATGGGTACGTTTTTTATTTTTCATTTTTTTTT